ATCCATGTACTTGAGCGCGCTTCACGTTTCCTTTGTTCTGCAGAAAGAAAAGGCCAATTGGGCAAAAAACCAGCGGTGAGCTCTTGAGTCTCATGGGGAAAAGCTAAACACTATTTTCCTGCAATTACTAATGGCTCGATACATACGTACATTTATACATCTGTTTTTCTTCCAAGGTAGTTTGTGTCAAGAAGCAGCTGATGCAGAGACATGCAACCTCAGAGCAAAGATGTCGAGTTTCAGAACAAAGAGAGATTAACTGTTAGGGATTGGAGTTATTTGCATAGAATCTATTGCATTTCCAGGCAGAAAAGGTTAAAAACAGGACTGACAAGGTTTAGGAACTATCTGTAGTTCAGTGAAGCTTTAAATCAAGTTAACACTCTCACAACCCTTGGGAGATTTGCATAATTTCCATAATGTGCATGTTTTTTGCCTCCTGATAGGAGCCATCAGTTATGTAAGCAAATTGGTTGCATAATTATGCAGATGGCAAAAATAAATTTAATTGATTCAACAGAAAAGTGCGCTGTTTGTATCACCCGGGATTTCTGTTAAATCAGTGAGGAATAAAATAAATTGGGAGAGGTAATCAGCAGGTGACACTGCAGATACCAGCTCCATTGCGTAGGGTACCCATTTGCAAACAGAGCCAGAGCGACCCGCCCCCCAGCACAGGAATGAATTCCCATTTTTTAACTGAAGGTCTCAACACTTAGTGCTTATCAATATCCCCACAATATTCCATGGGACTAGTATTGTGACTTTATCTTGTCATTACCTATCAGTTCCCAGGATACATCCCCACTGGCTCAGCAAGAGGGGCACAAGACATTTCTGAATGGAAATCTTGTTTTGTAACAGATAAAATTAACATCTGAAGCAGTTTATATTTTGACTACTTCTTGTCCCTGAACAGAAGGAGAATTTTAAGCATCACAATAAAGTTGTTGCAACTGAGCCATTTTCTCCTTGCTCCTTTGTTTCTGTTCTGGTCCTCGGACTGCAGATGATCAAAAAGCAGCATGTTTCTCCAATCTTATCACACACAATGGCACGGAAGCTCTGAGGCCAATAATGTCAGCATTAATTTTTGATACTACTCATAACACGACTCATTTTAGAAAGGAGTTAGGCAGAAGGAGTTAAGACTGAAAAACATAGACCTGGGATTGGCCAAAAAACCCCCCAAACCACAAAGATGCAAAATGCATCTGGAGAATGTGAAAGGACAAAAATGTGAACTAGTAATTGCTCTTAATGGGGCTGTATTTTACTAAGCTGAGGAGTACAGCATTAAGATTGTGGTACTTAAAAGTTCCATTACTATACCAGGGATTTTACTATTTCTCCTCGTGTGACACTCTCACTAACATCCGTTAGAATTCTTCAGCAAACAGAGCACAGCCCATAGGCCTTACTGCAGCCTCTGCTCGAGTCTTGTAGTTGAAACTGGAAGTTGGCCATGACCACAGCTGGGAGTTTCAGCCCAATTTATTCATGAGCATTTGCTACATTATGTGCTACGGCATGGTGAAAAACTGTGTAGTCTGACTGATTTCACACATTCTTAACCTCCTCATGCAGCATATCATACTCTAGATTCTTGTAGTGGTTACAAGATATTAAACTCTCCACGTCTACTTTGCCACTTGCCTATGCTCCTGCATACCGAAGAGTATTAGTAGCAGGGACCTGAACAGAATTAAATAATTTAACGACAATACTGACTCACAGATATTTTGGATACTTCATATAAAGAATAAAAAAAGTTTATTAACATCTTAACAACTCCTCCAAAGTGATCCCCCCCAATTGCTTTTTATAAAACATTGTAAAACTATCAAGCTTCCACTTCCAGCTTCTCACCTCCGCCCCCAATGTGGGTTGAGAAACTCTCAAAACTGTCAATGCTTCGAAATAAAATTGTGCTAAGTCTTCCAAACAACATTATTCTGTTTTAGTTACAAGAAACAGTCCATATCTAACAAAACTAATCTTTCCAAGAGCATACCTTGTCATCGGTGAAAACTGAGGAAAGATTTTCACAAAGGGAATTTCTCATGCATCTAACAACACACTGAAGGAGCGCAGTGTTGTCTAGACCTACTGAGCGCAGCACAGGAAAGGTTTTTTGCCCATTTTTCTGTCCCTCTCTGCAAACAGGTAAAATACATTTTATTTCCTATATGAAAAATTAAATATATCAAATGAGTTGCTTAATCTCAAACACAGAAGTTCTTTCAGCTACTAACAAACAGTAACTTTTACCTGGAGAAAAGCAAAAATATGGATATTGTCTACTGAGTGGCTGGCTCTGCAAAACTGCATTGTCTCTGTTGTACTTAACTTTATTCTTTGGAACATTTTTTCATCTTTGCAGGCTCGTTTCCGTTCCACATAGAGTTTTGTCCTGTTTAGCACATGGAATTTCTGTCAACAAAATGGTACTGAGAATGTTGCTCAAGAAACCTTTCTGGTTTTTGATACACGTGGTATTTCAAGTGGACCCAGACAATACAAAAATGTGAAATGCAGGAACAGTAAAGTTGTTTAAATTGCCTACTGGTTTATCACAGTGATAGGGAGAAACACTATATTGGCAGAAACACCAGATGCACCAGTTGTAACAAAACTTCTGAGCAATGATGTGGGGAGCTTGCTTTGCTTGTTAATATAAAACATGACTGAGATTGCATCCTATCAGCTGAAGATGATACTCAGGAAATGGAGCCAAAACATTGCACATATTTTACACGGTTCCAAGTTAAGCTAGAAGGTCAATGATTAACCTCTGTCTGAAAAATAAAGCAACATTTGAAATTTTTTTCTGGGGATGATCCAAGTGAAAATTCAAGGTTGCTTATAATGGAAAAAATAATGCTGTCTCTAGACATCCCAAGCTTTGAAGCCATACAGATTACTAAGAGAATTTTGTCCTTCTGCGTCTCTCAAACACAGTATTAGCCACATCTGGTACCGCTTACAGAAACGTGGGATTTAGCTGAGGTTCAGATAGCCTCTGTCTAATTCCAAGGGAGATTAAGCTACAAAGGATCTTACAAAAACTAATTAGCAAAAATGACTTAGTTTCTCACTGCCAGTTTTAGTTTGCTGAAACTTTCCAAAATTGCTCTTGCCACTAATGCTGGAGTGGCTGGAAGAACATCAGTTTCGATCCCTCATCTGAAACCCGGTCCCTTCTTACCCAGTCTTTCAGCTACTGGCAAACAAAAGCAGCAGAATGCTGCTGGATTTGACGAGGTGGACAGCCTTACAAATGGCAGAGCCATCTTGGGGAATACCACGCGGTGGAACCCAAAGTCTGTTTGAACTAGTGCCAACTGTTCTGCAAGAGAAATTTTGATGTAAGGAGCGTTTAAAGAAATGCCATCTGATTGTTAATACCTAATCTACCCTTTTTTAGAAGGAAAGCAGATGAGATCCCTACAGAAGAATGATACTTGTGAAAACACAAGAGCCTCTATCCTTGCATTTTTCTGTACAGGTGGCACAGGAGGAAGACAGTGATCTTGGCAGTTGTCAGATTCAGTCCTCTCTTCTGCAGTAGCAACTCCCAGACAGACTAGATGAGCAGTGGTATCGAAAAGGGTCAGGACCTGACACTGAAGAGGGTGAGGAATCTAACAACTGTCGAGCAGATTAATGACATCAGATTAATGGGATGAACCTCAAGACTACAGTGGCAACCCTCCCAAATAAGAAAACACCGACACCCCTCCAACCCCCCCCACAACCATCCAGCGCTAAGATCATGATAGCTTTCACGATTCAGAGGTGTAAAGGACACCTGCAGTAATGCTGCTGGAACTGGGAGCAGACTCATGCTGCCCCAAAGGAGGGAAAAATTGAGGGCTTATGCCACCATCTTGATCTCACTTATGATGGAACAGCCTTAAAACCCCCATGAACTTCCATACCCAAGACAGCAGCAATTTTCAGCACAAAAAGCTCTAAAGGGGATGGAGCGCAGGACCAAAAGAGCTGTATTACTGGCTTGTTTGTGAAGGTAGAGATCTAAACTAACTAATACAGAAGTGGGGAGCTCAGGCAAGTAGCAACTTTGACAGAAGTCCCATTGATTTGCCACAGGAGTTTTCTGATATGAAATGTTTACTTCTTCTCACTCAGGCTGCACATCAGTAGATGAAATGTGACATAAGCAATTCATGCTCCAAATCTGATTCAGGATTTGCACGTGGAAAAAAGAATTCCTGAAGAACCAGGAATGCTAGAACCAGCTTGCTAGAAGCCTCCATCTCCTCATGCAGTTGGCAGAAACTAAAAAATGGGCAAAACCACTTCCCTCTAAGAGCACAATCAAGGGAGAAAGCAAGTTTTCCTCTTCAGTGGAAGTATGCATATATACAAATGTGAAGCCATATACAAGTTATTATCAAGACACAACTAAACCTTCAGCTGTGAGCAACTTGTGTAGCCTCTCTCAATTCTGTCAAAGGCGGCATGTCTCAAGTGATTTTGAAGTTATTTTATTCTCAGTGCTTTTTACTGGGTTTTTGGAGTAAGGAAATGAAGGTCTCTAAGGAGTACACAGATGGGACAATATCCTCACAAGATACCATGAGGAAGACAAAAGGAAACATGTATTACTTCTACAGACTATGAAGCAATGTGGAAGACATCTCACTCAAAACCAGTAGATACCCTCAATCAATGCACTTAGATACTATCACCTGCTGGGAGAAGAGTAACAGTGCTAGATTCTCTGTAAAAAAGGAGAATGTAGGTTCTGAGGCTGCAGCTTCCTCATTATCTAATGATGCCATTACAAAGCATCTATGTAAATCACTGTGACAATACATATAGTTCAGGAAAAAAATGAAATTTGAGTTTGAAGCCTTGCTGTAAATCAGTAAGGCACAGTCCGAACGCAGTGGGAACTGCCTTTATTAATTTATATTATTTTCAACAATGATTGCTTTAACCATTAAAACCCAAAAGTCCTTACTATTTAATGACTATTGGAACAACCAGACCTTCCCAGCCCATATCATATTCTCCTGAAGCCATTTTAGAGCAGATGTAAGCTCCAAGCTGTAAACTTCTTCCATATTAACATTCATTGTCATATGCTTGAGAAAAAGCTTTGGATCAGATACACGAGCGGCCAAGATCAGTCTCTCCACTGCTGCCTGATAGTCACTGTTGTTCTGAACTGTCTGATCTTCACATCTGTAAGCGAATTTTCACAAATACAAAATTATGTATTATACAGGTCCTGTGTCACCTGTCTGATGCTTTATACTGGCAATAAGATTACAAAAACATTAAAATAATGCCTTGTGTTCACCTCACTTATCATAGATTATGTTAATTTTCCTGACAAATTTTAGCTGATTATTCTGTAGAATTAAAAAGTTAGAAAAAGTATATTTTTAACATATGTTATGGTAATAAAAAGTAATAGGATTCAATGCCAGTGCAAAGTAGGTCTGCAATATTCACAGCACGTTTCATGAAGAAACGTTCTACTCTGAGCTGGAAAATTCAGTAAAGGAATGTAAACCATTTTATGAACTGGATATGGGAAGAATTCATGTACATGCTTGAATCTGAAAGGATTACTCATTTTTGGCATGTAATCACTTTTGGAACAAGGATGTGCCTAAGTGACATGCCTACATTTTTGCAAGAGCAGAACTTACTCTTAAAGCAAACAAGCAGATACACAACAGCATGCACATGAGAACAAGAGATAAAACCCTTCTCATTTATCAAAAGAACAAAATTAAGAGATGTATTCCTTGGGAAGGGTAGAGGGGAAGACAGACATGAGTACTCAAGTTTGAGATGCCCCTGTTCATCCTTCTTAACAAATGTAGCTTTCCTATGCAGTTTCACATTTTGATGCTGAGCCAATCAATCTTAGAGAAAATGGGCTCTTGAAAAGTAAATTATAGGTATAATCTAGTGACAGTGGTTGGTGGTTTATGGACAAAAGGAAAAAGCAACAAAAAACATTTTTATCTGAAGGTATTAAGTCTCACACAAAGGGGGAAAAAAAATCTAACAAATTTAACATCGAGATATCCCCTGTAAAGAGAATCAAGAAAACGGCTTCACGCACTTTCCAGAAAACAGCCAAGAAATGTTAGAGTTGCTTTTTGAAAGGAGTAACATTTTCACTGTGCCCTTCTACTCCACTGCTTGACCACAACACAAGAATCTATACACCAAGATATCAAACTATCCTGTTTTTGAAAATACAGTACACTCTTAGTGCCGTAGAGACATTCAGTTAGGGAACACAGGCCAGTATCACTCTGGAGCAATTACTTTTCTGCTAAAAACATGAAAAAGTAATATTGACAATAAAAACAACCCCACAAACCAAACATTTACTGTTGATAACCAGTTTAGAAATAAGGACTAAAGCCAAGTTTAAACCCAAGCATTCTGTTTCCCAGCCAATGGAAAATAAGATCTCTTGTTAATTACATGATCACGTGGATAAATACAATCAAAATAGTACATACATGACAAACCTTTTCAGTATTATTTGAAGAGTCTGACTAGTAGCCATTGGACTTTGAATATCACTGGCATTTGAAACAAGAAATATTTCGATGGCCAACAGCATCTCAACTTCAGACAGGTAAGATGGAATCGTCAAAAGTCTCTGATACAAATTTCCCTGCAGTGGTGGGTAGCAACCCAATGATAAAGCACCTGAGAGTAAATGCAGAAATGTAAGGAGTAAGGATTACCAATACTGAATACAGATCTGTTTTCTTCAGTATGTGGCTAAGAATGTGGAAGAAGTCCCCAACCCTGAACTCTTAATGAATTTTACTATTTCACCTGTGAAATGGCCCGATTTGAGAACACAGCAAATAGTATTCACTCATAATATTCACTGTTGTACAATGTTATTTTTATCAATGAATATTATCAGTGATGATTAAAAAGCTCTGACAGAAATACAAGGTCTCCAAGTGCGTAATAAAACAAGTACAATTTAGTCTGACAGAAGCTTTATTAGCTATAACCACAGTGAGAGGACATTTGAACAGCATCTCCCCCTTTGCTCCCGTCTTCCGCCAAGCGATCCCAGAGACCCCACCTACACAGCGTTTCAGGGGAGAGGAAAAAAAAACCAAAACAAAAAAAGAGGTGAGGAAAACCAATCCAATGGTTTGTTAACCAACGTTAACAAAGCGAAGTATCCATCCCAGAGGGTTGGGCTCCTTAAGTAGCTTGCTAACCGCCACAATTCTAAGATGGAATCAAACAGTAAATAACGTGACAATATGGAGACAGGGCTTGTGGTGGACCCTATCAGAGTAGCACACCCAATATTATCTTAGCTCAGAAAACAATCACAGACTGTTAGCTTTTAGTTGAAAAGAATTTTCTATCTTAATTAAGATAAACTTCTTAGCTGGACCTCTCAAATCTTAAATAATTTTACCACCACAGCTCTAAACAGAAGTATAAAGAAATCTAATTTGCTGAGATGAAAAGTGAAGGATTCACATTTTTGAAATTTTGAAATTGAACATAAAAATTTAATTTAATGAGAATTACATTTATTTCATGCCAGGTAGTATGTACTGATTCATATTTTCAGCTGTCACTATTTCCCAATAAACATTTTGGTTACAAAAAAATTCCTGATAGTGATACAGAAAGTACAGTTTTCTTCTTACAAAGTATACTCTTACCCATTTCTCCCCAACACACTGAGCTGTTATGAGCATATGTTATCCAAAGACTGTAAGGGAAGGATATTGTTTAAGCAGCAACTTACTTTTGTAATAGGTCCTAGCTTTAGACCACAAAGAACTTCTTCCCAAAGCTGTGATCAATCCTCTAAGTAAAAAAAAATCAATAGCTATGTTTTTTGAAAGCATGAAGTCTACTGCAGAAGATGAGACCCCAAGGTTCTTGCTCTCAAAACAGGCATTTATCAGCTTGTTAAAAAGGCAACTGTACTGAGAAACATCTACAGTATCTGAAATGAAATGAAAAATATTAACTACTGAATTAAGTCAAAATGCAAATCTAATTAAAGAACCGCTTCTCAATCAGTACCTAAATCAGGACTCTTGCTTCTATCAGCAAAATGGAACAAGGTTGAGATAACTTACGATAATGCTTTATTCATCAAGTCTTTTCATACAGTTCATTCACATTGTGAAAGAGAAGTGTTAAGGTCCAAGTGATAATTAGCTGTCAAAAGCAATAGGATCAGATAAAATACATTCAACTTGCCCAAGCCTATAAATACAATCTACACCTGATCTCTCAGACTTAAAATTTGCACCAATAAAAATCACCTTGGTGCTTCAAGTTCTGCTTCTACTCTTGCTCTGAACTGTCCCCTTCCTCTCAACTGTCCCCTTCTTGGCATGGCTGAGCAGCCTTGTATCCACCTCATGCCCCAAAGGACTAGATCCTGTCAGATTCTCTAAGCAGATGGGCTTCCAACTAAGCTCTCCTAACATACGTAAAAGCACACACTGGCAACAGGACTGAGACCTACACAGAGGAATCAGCTGAGGTTTCCTCAGTGGAGCCTAAGTAACTGTGCATATCATCTTGAAGTGCACATCCAAAATTTGTCAGGTAAATTCAGCCCAAAAGAGCACTCGGTTCTTAACAGAGTATGTAAAAGAAGTGTAGGTTAGCTAGCTCATTCATCTGCAGTTAAATAAAATTAATCGCCCCAATGATATCCCTATTGTATGATATACCTTATTGTATACACTGTGTATGATCCATAAAAATTTAGAGGGTCTTTCCTGTGTAACTAAGCCAACTGGAAAGAGAAAATAGGTGTATAAACTGAGTGCGCACAAGTATGTGTATGTGCATGTGTGTATGCATGTGTGTGGCAAGAGCTGCAGAGTACAATACATATTTTAATTGACACCATACTCTTTGGAAAAAAAAATGGGCTTGTCTAAAACCATCTTACTTCTTTAACAAATTTTAGCTGGAAAACAAACCAAAAGAACAGTACAGAGTCATCTGTTAAATTTTTAGCTTTTAACACAGTACCTTCTTCTTTACTTACCGGAATGATTTTGAAAACCTGGTAAGTTCTGCAGAACTTCAAATGCCTGCCTGTATAAACTCTTCCTCAAGTATTTGTGCACTAGTGTACATAACAGATTATGTCGATTAAGGATGTCCATTTTATCACAGGGCCACAATGGTGCATTTGTAGTCCACTCTGACTCTGTGGCAAAGAACAGTGCAGAGTTATTTCTATGAAGGGAAACTGCTGGATGCTGAGACTTTTGGGCATTAAGAACATACTGTAAACTGCAGCAGAAAACAAATTTCAGAATTTCACAGAAAATGCAGTTTAGTTATTAGCAATTTGTTCCTTATCACCAATGCTTCTCAGATGGATTCTCTGAACCTTTATATTGTAAATATCTCCTATCATTAAGTATCACGATAGTAAAATGGACTGTCAGTGACATATATAAACGTGTGTATATAAATATCTGTATGTCTATGTACATATATAAAATTGAATAGCAAATTTTAGTTCCTCGATATTACTTTGTAGAACACCTTCTATTCTTGTTTCTGAGTTTCTTCTCTTTTCAGCAGATCAGAATTCCAAAAAGCCAGTAATTATGCACTATTTAATTACAGAAATATGGTACTATTCTAAAGCTATTTTACTAAATGCGGATACTGTGAGGGGTAAAGAAACACTGCATTGACCCAAGCCTTAAAAGTTTTTGACACTGAATGTCACCTGGCTCAAAGGAAATCTACATGGGACAGGGTCACTTTCCAAGCTGCACCCCTCCCTTATGATGGTAGGCTTTTGAGTAGAATGGTGTTGATGGTAGACTAATGTGAAAACTTTTCCAAAAAAAATTTAGTATCAGTCATAGTATTTGTTATCAAGAAGAATACTAAGCAATAAGATGGATCGCATTTTATTTTTGTTCCAATATTATTAACTTTATTTAATAACACAGACCAGCCTGTAAGTTTTATCTGAAATCTGTCATAGAAGGGGACTGTTCAAATTTAAGTCAAAACTCAGTTTTTTAAGACAAGCTTACCTCTCAATACCCATGTCGCTCCATCCAAACTTCCAGTTTTAAGAAAAATTTCTGCAGCTTTATTAACAATTTGACATCTCGATGCTAACCTCTCTGCACCTGTAAGTCCTTTCAAGACTGTAAAATGTATCTGTAGCTCATGCAATTTATCCAAAACCTTCCTTCCCTAGCATAAGAGGAAGAAGGGAAAGGGAGAAGGTCAGAGAAAGCAATGATATCAGTGAACACGGAGTATATTTACAGCAGATTTAGTTCAGTGATACAAATTTATATGTATCAGTTTAGTTATCCAAAATGAGTCGTGGGGGGAAAAAAAAAACTATGGTAAAATTTCTAATGAATACTAAGGTTTTTTTGACTGTGTAGGCAACCCCCCCCCATTGTTGAACAGTTCCCAGCACACTATTCCCCCATAACATTATTTCTACTATATAATATTCCTATACAGTATTTTTAATACAATTTATAATTAATTTGTATGTCTTTAATATAGTAATATTTTTACTCTCTTGCTTCCATTCAGCACTACACAACCTACAAAATTCTAAAAACATCATACAGAGAGTTTTCATTTTGCAGCAGAGGCATAATTTTTAAACTTTAAGCCAAAGAAAACATTGATAGTTCTACCCAGCAGGACAGTAAGCTGGAAAAAATTGGGCCTATCTGGCCAACAGTATAACCACCAACAACTTTATCATCATATTCCACGTTGATATTTAGACTCGTTTCCTACTGAAGCTTCCTCTTAGCAACTTTGGGGTTGGCCTTTTCAGTCAAAGATGGAAGAAAGATAGCAGTCTCAAAGATAATTAAGATCTGACCAATCTAAAAAGAGATGATGGTCAAGTCAGGGTGGGATATCAGATTAATGTCCCCAGCAAGGCAAGGACAGGCAGGATTCAACACTTGTCCTTGTCTGGCTGCTCCTTGCTGGTCAAGCAACATGAATGAAACTCCAAACTAGACATGTTTTAGCTCTTGCTTAGTGGGTGCATTGATGAGGAGGTGGCTTATTAAAAATTGTGGTCATGTGTGTGCCTGCATAGTAGTGGCAGAACGAGGGTCATGAAGGTAGAGGAAAAGGGAGGTTTAGGAGAACACAGAAGTTGACTGAAAAGCAGCTTGTTTTTTGAAAATGCTTTATGCATGTGCACATGCATACTGTGGACTGGCATATGCTCAGAATTGGAGACTTCTGAAGTCCTACAGGAACTTGCAATCGTTTATCTCAGCATAACCCATAAAAGAATACTAACTACATCATTGTAGTTAACATTTAAGGTGTGAAGAACTGTAGATATATGTAGTTGAAGGGAAAAAATACCTACCAGAAAGACTCAGATGAAACTTCTGACAGCAAAATAGAAATTTGAAATTTAAGTGCCAACCAGAAACAAAATACAAAATTAAGGAGGATATGCATCTATTCCATCCTACTAGCAAAAGGGCAGGCCACTAAGAAGTGAGTCTTTATAGAAAGATGGAAAGCATGCAGCTATAAGCATAAATGATCTATGAAGGGCAGGCACCCAATTAAAATGCAGTTGTGGAATGAGATCCATAATTGGACAAGAACCTCTGACCAATGCTCTGAAGTAATAAAAAGTTGGGTAAAAATAAACCATAGCAAAGTCCTTCAAGATAGAAAATAGTTGAAATAGGAAGTGGATGAAGTAGTTGCCAAAGGAGTGTTAATGTTGCAGGATTATCTACAAGTAAATATCCAGAACATAGTCTAGTGTTGCCTGAAGAGCTGTCACCATGGAAGACCTATTCAGGTGTTTAAAATTTGCATGTTCTTTTTCCAAAGTACATCTGTTTTATGAACTTTGCTTAGTTCTTGCAAAGAATATTCTCTTCAGGACCAAGGAGCATACATATTTTATCCCAGAGAGCCACCAAGCATCAAAGCTATGTGACACAGAAGTTTGATGTTCACGAAAGGAAAGTGATCTGAAAAGCACATCTAGAGCTTTAGGCAGTCCAACATATTAATAAAATGGCACAGGGCATATCCTAAGGCCAAAATTACTTGGAAGGCCTAAATTACAACAGGAAGAACTAGTCCATCACTATCTTATTTTCTGGACCACTTTTTGGAAGAAACAAGAGATGGGATCAAGCAGATACTAGCCCATAACCACAGGATTAGGGACATATCTGATACATATAATGGAATAAAACTGGTTAAAGAAATCAATTTGGGATGTCAGTTCTGATAAAAATCATTGAGAGCACAGCCTCATTCACGCTCCCATGTGGTCAACCCAGGCTGTCAACAAAGCTATCTGAGGATCTTCATGAACAGTCTGTTGAGAGGTGGGTTTGATACCTAACACAACATTCTCAAGGAAGCAATGACCTTTTGCTCTAGACATGAAAAAAAAAAAAAATCACAGTATCGTAAGAACTGTCTACTTTTAGTAACTCCTGTTATACAAGAGAAACACTACACATGCTTTTGACACCTTGCACCTCTGAAATTAGGACATGAAGATGAACATCCTTGGAGCATCAGAGGTCCTGCAACCCAAATATCAGGATCTCCCTTGAGATGGATCTGGAAAACAGCTAAAACCCAAGCCAAACTAAGCTTTTTGATGGGCATGTGAACACTGACCGTTCCTCAATGCCAAAAATTTAGACTACCTCTTCTATGGCCAGAAATATCTTAACTGCTGAGTTTTATGGAACAAAAATGCTTAAAAAAGTTCTAGTGGACTACTACAAAAGTGCTAATGCAAAGACCCCTTCTCCTTCCCTTTCCCCCTGAACAGTATGACACTATGCTGCAGCTTGATAGGGACCCAATAAAGACCATTCCACTCAACAAGCTGATGCTGCAAAATTAATGATTCATCAAAATGGGTGTACTGCCTCTAGACTAAGCACCTCTGTCAAATATCTCCTGGGACTTGGGTTGACCCTGAAAAGAGACTGAGCAGTGCACAGGTTTGACATAACAGAATTCCTGAAGGTCATCCCCTAGAGATAATAGTACAAAAGATATTTTAATCCTTTGATGTAAACTAGAAAGGGTTCCTTGATGATAATTCACAAAAAACCCCAAGAGACAAAAGGGGACAAGGAGAGCGTTTACTTTTCTTCATAAAAACACATGCTGGAAATCATCTTGTATGGGATGAGGAACATCCCAGTAGAGCATAATTATTAGTTGTAAGGATCAGGCCCATTGACACAAAGGGAAGTTCAGAATGTGATCACTGGCCAAAATATAAACTACCAATGATTTTGGAATGTATTATTTCTTACGTTGCCTCTGGTCACATTGAATTTTATAGGAGATCTAGCTTGGTCTACACTGCTTCCTTCCAGGAAGAAAAAGAATTTAACATTGAAACGGATCTTGCTGCAGTAAACTAATGATCAATACTGCATGAGGCCTAAAGAGTGTAAGAAATCCAGTGAAAGGCCTAGTCTCTTAACCCTGGCCCTTTGTAGTATTTGACAGCAAAAAAAGGATTGTAAAGGGTATTTATTTATGAAGTCCAACTCTTTGCAAGATTCACAGAACTTAGAACCCTAGATTCAATGGAAGAAAAGCACTTCTAGTGACATTCTGGGGAATGAGCAGTTCACCAAGTGCAGTAGCAGCCTTGCTATGCTTTTCTTCTGTCTTCCTGGCCTTATCCATTCCATTTGAAGTCAGGTTCAGAAGCATCAGTGAAGGAAAGGGACCGCTCAAACTTTTGTAAATACTACTTGAATGCAGAATACAGCTGTATTGCCAGATGGAAGAAAGTGCTATTTCTGGGAAACATCCCATCAGCACCTTGCCCCAGAATCTCAGGAAGACCTGTCTTCTGATCCAGATTCATCCTTAGCTCAAAAGTCAAAAGCTGAACCAGAACAATCAAGTCTTTAGGTTGCAAGACAAAGTTATGACAGGCTCCACAGACGACTACTGTTCCGAAAGGCACAATAAAATGCTTTGATCCAGCTGGACAATTAAGAAGTAGTAAGATGGTGGGGAGGCAGGTGGCACATCCACTCATTCAGCTAAGGAAACACAGTTTAACATCTAGAAAAGAAATGACTCATTCTTTTTCTTCCAGTCAGGTTACTATAGTCCAGTATACCTTTATCCACTGCAGTACTTTGTGATAAGAATACATTACACTTATCCCAATCCTCCCAATGAAAATTCTGTCTGCTTCGTTATGTTGTGGATTTTTTATTACTGGAGAGAAAAAAAAAAGATTTTTTTTTTTTAAATTTTACATGTAAATGCAGTTTTAAAGAAATTACACACTTGTGAAACACGGTCATTGTGAAAATATTAAATATAGTTCTGAAGTATTTGCCATTAAAAGTACTAACTTTGTAAGTCTTAACACCAGAAGTAAATAACTACAGTTTATTCAGACACAACTTCATAGTAGTCTAATTCATCCATAAGATGCTTGGACATGTAATGGCATAATTTAGTAACATCATTATTTGTAAAGTAAGCTTTGCATTTTCTGGCACCATGAAGAAATGTTGGCAATTACAGAACTGAGTAAATACAAGTTTTTCCAACCATATTATATGACTTTGGAAGCACTGTTGGTATTCTACAGCAGTGGTCTCCAAACTGGGGTGTGAGCACAACAATCCATTCAGGTGTGGGAAGAAAGTATTTTTTTGTACTATTCAAAAATATAAATAATTTAAAATATTTTTTAAAGTAGTGTTTATTTCATCTTTATCTCATACTTTTAATTTATATTTGGTGTATGTTTTATAATGTACTTAATATATTAGTGCAGTAGTACATAAATCAGTATTACATAGTGCACTAGTTACAAAAATCAATAAATAAACCAGGGGTGAGCGCTCAAAAATTCTTTACTGATAGAGGTGCCTATCAGTTTGGAAACAGACTAAGTTCCAGGCCCCACCAAAATTGTCTGCGTGTGTCACAACTGGAAGCTGTGATAGCTGTTTGATAACATGAAAGTCTGTGGTCAGAAAGGTCATGTCACATATCTGGAATAAACATTCATTGTGTTTTAGTAGTTAATACAGGTTGGAAATGATCTGAGTCATCCATTATAAACTGCTTTAATATCCCACTGACACTTCACTGAGCCTCAGATTTCTGCAAACTTATTAGGAAGATGGAAAATGGTTTCTATTGAGCATTTTAGCTGATTGTATTTGCATCTCAAGAAATTCTGAACATTGTAACATATAAAAATAATTAATATTCAGAAAAATAGTACACAGATTTGGTTTTTTACCTGTTTTGAAAACTCTACAAAGAATAGGGATGAACAAAAAGCATTTCTTGCATCTTAATTTTACCTGCATCAGCAAAATCACAAAAAGGAACTCCTGGTCTGTCTGTCTCAGAATCTCTGGTTAGTATTTCAGCAATACAAAAAGACAATTTCTGAAGATCATCAAAATGTTCACATCCAGCTCTTGCATTAACATACAAAGCTCCCAGCTTGGTCCAATCACTTTTTTCCTTGCAATGCTGTGAAGAAAGCAAGGGATAAATATAAGCAAATTTGCTTCCAGAACACCAAACAGAAAATATCCTGAAATTCAAGATATACACCTGCGATAGACTTAAAGAAGAAAAAAGATGCAGATGAAATGCTACTGCCAAGAACGCCACGTTCAATATGGCACAGTTACATGTTGCCTAACTTGCATGGACTGCTAATCAACTTTTGACCCTCAAGAAATTAAAATCCTTTTTTCCATTTATGTCATGACCCCAATTGGGGAAGCTCATAACTTATTCATCCTATTTAAGAACTGGCATTCATCCAGTATTTTACTTTTTTTTTTTTACTTTTTTTTCTTTTTTTTTTTTTCCTCTTTTCCGCACAATGCATGCCAAATTGATGGTTATTCTCTATATGAATTAGTCTTTTGCTTGCCAGATCACTTGATGACTTTGGTGTTAGACGAGTGAAAAAATCAGCCCTGGTTCTTCCCTTCTTAAATTTTGGTCTCAGGATCTGTGCAGTAAGTGTGATAATATGTAAACTGTATTATAATCGTGCATAATAAGGAATCTGCCCTTGAATATGAAAGATGCAAGTGTCCAATTAGAGAATTTTTTATAGTATTTCCTTATTCTTTAAAATACCTGCTTAGTGTTGACAATTATGGCCTTTTACGACTGTGTCTTTTTATACTAGATATGAATTCTATCTGCTAAATAACATATTAAATAATTTTTTGGTGAGGAATGATGTAGCACTACCAATTACAAGCCCAACAAATATAAGGCATGGGAAATAATTGCTTAAAATTATAAAATCTTTGAATTAGATGCAAACCCAAGATAAAAACTACAAGTATGTAAATTAAAATACTGACATCACAGAAAAGCCAAAGACAGTTTTCCCCTGCACGTTAATCTTTCCCAAACATGGCTTTGCAAAATATTTTATCATAATCTCAACATACTTAATAATAAAGCCCACTGATTTTAAATGATGTAGAAATTGCTATTTCTTGTAGGTTTAGAAGTCATGGTTTAAGTATTCCAATAGGCTTGAAGAACGCACATATTGTACCTGAATTTCAGCCACTGCCAAGCTGAAGTCAAAAAGCCAGTTCTTTTCAAAATGTCTTTCCTGAAATCTTCCATAAGAAATAAATATTAATACTTAATTTTAACATATCCTATTGAACTAAAGTATGCACTAGTAGAAGGTGATCAACAAATTATCATACATGAACTAAAAACTGATATGATTTTTGATCCTATTTACACTACACAAACTGGATGCCGAAAACAGACATTTACAATCATGCCAAATGAAGTCAGTATGCCTATTAAGCAAGTAATTGAGCAGAGCTGTTTTCACAGAAAATATTCCCTTGTCTCAGTAGAAATGTAACGGAAAAGGTATGAATAAGACTTGCAATCCATTAAGTAAATGAACTGTATTGTATGTATTTCTGACATAAAAGTAAAAAAAAAAAAAACAAATTACATGAAAAAGTGCTATTCAGCTTCAAATACCTAGGAGCATAATGCTTTATTCTGATGCTGCCACTGAAACAATGGTAAAAATTACCTCCAACATGTGTGGTAAATTGCACTGTTAAAACACTGAGATTCGTGGCTGAAAGGTACTATATTGGAAAAGTATGAAAAGCAGCAAATAATTTCTACAGCGCTTTCACTTGAAACAGTGATGGCTTGTTTCCACACAGTAGATGCTGTATATTTGGTTTCCTCTAATAATCAAAGGTTGCTTTATGAATTACAATTTTAGTTTCTCAACTTGTATGTGCATGTATGATGCAGATGATATATTAAAAAAAAAAAAAAAAGGATCACAATCTTGTGCAAGTGATGGGGAGACATCAGTAGTTTTGGAACAGATTTGGGCTGTCATTTCACATGTTGCCCAGCATAATCCAGCAGTACTTAAAAAATGACCTTCCTCCCTAGTTGTGTTGTCACAAATGTTTATGCAGTAGCACAGTAAATGAAACTACAAAATTACTTCAGATTATAACTAATCCTCTTATTGCCTAGAAGGGCTGTTTATTGCTGAAGTACTGTCTGCTTATGCAGGCCTAAATGATCTATCAAACCATGATGTTTCCAATTTGACCACAGTTATATAAACTCGTAGCACAGCTGGGAACAGATTGTACAATGATGATCAATATGGAAAAAATTAATCATAACTGCGGTCAGAATCTAAGTTTTGACTTAACAATCTTTGAAGCACAGTAGATTGACAGCACTTTACAATACAATTAGGCATGATATATAGTATTTTCATCCAAAACACTAAATTTTCATTTTCTAATTGCCTTGTAAAGATTTTACATAAATTTATAAAAATAGAACCTGAAGAAGGAACTAACTAAATAAAATAGCTCCTTAAAGACATACCTGGATTTTATGTTCAAAACGATATTTACTTCCTGACTGGAAACTTGCAATTGGTGAAGGAACTTAATGATATAGTCAAAATGTTCAAACTCAAGGAACATACCAGCATCAATGAGCTGTAATATCAAACAGCAGGAAGAAAAGTAAGCATACGAAAAATAGTGATCACTTAAGTATTTCCAGAAGCAAGTGACAAACAACCATGGGAAAAACATGTCACAGTCAAAAAATAAGGGATAAATGGAAACCCCTACCACAAATTCAGCTAGTCACAATATAACTTTAAAAAATACTACTGAAATAATATTAAAGTGATGTGTTTGAGTATTAAAAGAGACAAGGTATTTCAGAAATTCCAACAAGTAGCAGTAGTACAATCAAACTCATACCTTACGAAAGGTACCAAGTAATGTAGGCACAGCATCTCTTATATTCAAAGAAGCCACATGCTCAAAGACTTTCAGAAGAACATCTACAGCTGGCTAATTTAGACAAAAAAAGCACAGTAAGTTTTGCAACTCTGTTATTTTCTTTCCTCCAAGATTTGAGTACCAAAGTAAAAAAACCCAACTTACTACTACAACTGGCATAGTACTCAAAAAACTAAGAAACTATGGATCAAAGATTTTAAAAATATTACAAGGTCACCTACCAGTGTATTGATTCGTACAGTTACATTCAATATCTGAAATACTTCCTGCAACAAACAGTTCTTGAGCAAAGAAATAAGAAGATCATTCAGCACTTGAGAATCAAAATCCATACCAGGAGTAACTTCTCTGTAATATTTCACAAATATTCGGACTGAAAAAGCAATTAAAATAATTTTACTTTGGGCTAACTGACGCTAACTATTTAAACAAGTTATTTCCTTAAATTTTAAATGCAGTCTAACAACCTTTAATTATCCAGGACATTATGGGACAGGAATATGGAGAAAAATGGGTGAAAGGATCCAGTTTGAATACAGTGTTAACCTTACTAGACCCAGAATTCTGAAATATCTCATGTCATTGAGCTGAACACCGTAAGTTCTGTGGGTTTCAAGAAAGCTTAGCTGATTTGGTGCAGCACAAGAAAAAAGCACAAAACCAGGTTAGATTTGGTAAGCGCATCAAGGTAGTAAGGCTTTTCCAAACATGAAGCTCTAGGAAGTGCAGTGCAGCGTTACCATGGTGGATGGTCTTACTTACCCAGTGTCACCTACATTACAATGCTCAGTATGCCAGCACGGGAACATTACTGCACAGGGTGCAACGGGATCCTGCGTGCACATTGTACCACACTCTAATAAGCTTTCAAAAACTTCAGACTGCTCAGGACACGTACAAAAGGAATGACTGTCCAGAGTAAAATGTAGCCCTTTCTGAACTCAAAAGCTCAGATGGATTTGCATTAACACATTTTAGGGACTGCAGTTGATCGTAATTGTTTGCATATATGGTAATGTCAAAGGACTAAACTAAAGCTGCTCAGGTGCCATAAAAGCGCTTCATTTTAAGAGCTTAATTCTAAAGGGTTTGGATTTGTGATGTTCAGCCAGGGTGTTCAAAAGTGTCTGAACAAAATTTTGGTTCTGTTAAACTTTCTTCCTGCCTCAGTTACTAATTTCTATTCTCAAGCCCAGTTCCATTTGGGTCAGGTTCATTTTCCGTGGAAGTAAGATTTATAACAACCTCCTGAGATAACTGCATATCTAAATACCCAGCCTTAACACGAAACTGGAACACGAAAACACATGGATTGGATGATATTCTTTTGAAATCAGAACTTCTTATTCACTGCTGAAGTGGCACCCATTTCTCTCCTGATGGATTATTTTATTTGCTTTAAATAGGCTAAGTATCAAAGATACATCAAAAGCTACTATTATATCATACCTGCACGTTTTAGAAGGCCTGATTCTTTGATACTAATGTATGTCCTAAGTATTGCCATGCAAACCTAGAAAAAGAGGAAAAAGAAATCTATCAGTTTATATCAAACAAAAGAACTACTCACAAACATGAGTTCTGTAAGGAGACAAGCTTTACACTGCTTCTATTGTCATACTGACAAATAGTATAAGAAGGTAATAGTGTCTGTAGGCAAAGGCACTGTCAAAAGGAGAGCAAATCAAACAGAATAATGTAGATGAAATGTTTGGGAGCAACGTTGCTGGGACCACAACTGCATGTGTGTGTATATACTCGTAGCAAACAAACAAAAAAAAAAGATATTTGAAAATACAGATACTTTGGAATTAGTATAAATGTGGCAGACTGTAAACAGAGAAAAGGAGGCAAAAGGGTGAAAGTGAAAACATGATAAACAAAAATTACATGAATGTACCAAGTAAGACATCAAAAATCATAGAGAAATGAAGTTGGTAACACTGTTCATCACAAAGAATCACTCAAAGATATAGAAGAAAAAAACTCAGAACTAACTCGATTTAGTGAACCATTTCACCTCAGACCCAGTTGATTAAAAAAACAAAAAATCCACACCTAGATATTTTAATATGTTACTTGGTACTGGACCATTCTTGTCTTAACACGTTAAGCTGTCAGCTTCATGATACTTACACATTTTGCTCTATCTCTGCAGATGAAGAAATAAAGACTACTGAGATTAAATCTTAGAATTCCAAGTTAGGGAAAAAACAATCATCCTTTCAGATACCCTTTGTCACTTCTGGAACATTTACAGTGTTTCTGCACAACAATTTAAATGGGTCATATTTAATACTATTTTGTGAAATAATGAAAAATCAAGAGACACAACCCCCCCTAAATTCGTAGTCAGGTTATCACAGAATTGAGTTGGGTTTATTTTTACATGGAACTTCAAAATTAGGCAGGATCTGCTCACAGAGTTTGTTACACAGCAAGTGAATTATCATCAAAACAGAAGATACTGACTTGTGGCCAAGACATCTTTCTTTTCTTAAAATTGTTAATCTGTTCAGATCATTGAGTCAAACACCACAAGATTTGTAAATATGTTGGCCATAAAAAAAGGTTATTGTTTTTATTTTGAAACAGTGTCATAATATTGTTGAACTATAGACTAAATATACACTTTTTGGAAAATCATGTAGAATCTCTGATCATTAATATATATGCAGTGTCCCTTGGCAATGGGTTAACTCATTTAATCCAAATCTACAATCCCAGGTGGCTGAGGGCATTTCCAAAACAAACTTCAGCACATGCTTACAGTATGTAAATTAAGTTGCTTGCTTTTGGAATCTGTTTTCCTCCTCCTTTGGACTGACTCCCTCGAAAAAGCCAAGATTGCATCTGGAGCTCTCACTCATCCAAATATTAGTGAAATTGCATGGAAAATCCAGTTGTAGTAGTATTTAATCATGGGACATGTTATATTACATTCATAAAAGAAACTAACCGTGTTCTTCATTTACAGCTTCTAGGAGGCTTCAGTTGATTTAATTGTTTCAATTTATAAAAGGTGTAACTGAACCTACAGACTAAGTAAAAATGTGAGAATCTCTAAATTTTGAGTTAATGATAATGGATTTAGAATGCAGACACATTAAAGAGACAATTCCCAAAAGGTAGAATAGATCATACTATTCTGTCATCTATCAGTTGATTCCACAACTCATTTAACATGACAATTTAATAAAAACCATAACAAAAGGACTTTGTTTTTTATACAAGCAACCAACTGCCCAGTAAAACACAGTTCTACTACAGTAACACAGAGGTACTTAAATCAAAAGAACGAGCACCAGAATTTATGAAATCCTTCAGCATCTCCCAGTCAGTGTGCACTCTGATACTTAGTAAGTGATATTTAGTAAGCGGGGAAAACCCCATGCTGTAGCCCTTCACTCAGTGAGATCAAAACCAGGATCTTTTTATCAAGAGATTCAGTTTATGAACCCTGAGGCACCTTTGAGACACACATTCCATACTAAAGGTGGTTGAAACTTACCAACAGGTTAAAAAATTATTTAAAGGTGCTTAGAGGCAGTAATAAAAGGAGAGTGCAACTTTAAGTCTCATTTCTTTAGGAAGCCAGATTAAAAAAAAAAACACAACCCACAACAGAAGCATACACCCAAGGCCATGAAGCGGCAAGACAACATTAATGAAGAAAAAAATTATTGTCCTATTTCACATCCTGTTTGTTTCCAGGTAGGGGTTCATAGGATGGAGGAAAAAGACAGTAAGAAGTCACAAAAAGATGACCATTTCTTTAGTGGATACAACATGAGTCAAAAGTTAATGAGTAAGGTGCACAAAACTAAGATAAAATCAAACAAAGAAACAGAATTTTCATAAAGATGTTTTCAAACCAATTATTTGTTGTAACTGTGCAATTATTATCTATCCTACAGTTTGAAGTGTAGGTCAAGCCAATACTATGTAGTACAAGTTTTTTGGTAAAAACCATAAGCAGAATCACAGAATAGCTGAGGTTGGAAGGCATCTCTCTAAACCATCCAGTCCAGCCCTTCTGCTAAAAGCCAGGTCAAATAGCCTAGGTTGCTCAGGACCATGCCCAGTCAGGTTCTGAATATCTTCAGGGATGGAGATTCTACAACCTCTCTGGCCAACTTGTTCTACTGTTTGACCACCCTCACAGTAACAAAAGTTTCTTCTTACACGCAAACTGAATTTCCTGTAATTTCAATTTACGCCCACTGTCTCTTGCCCTTTCATTAGGCACCACTGAGAAGAGTTTGAATTCATCTTCTTCAACCCACCATCAGATACTTATACACACCGTTAAGATACACCTTTTAAATACTTTGGGAAGTATTTAAAACAGTCTTAATAGTTTTGTTTACTTTGCCTAATACAAAAGAGATTTCACTGTGTGAAATTAAAGGCAACTTTAAAAAAAATACATCTGGTAACTTGTAGAACTTGCTGAGCTCAAGAATACGTCGATTTTCAAAACATATGCTGTTTTTATGAATTAAATCACTGCTGTGTTGTGTCATTAACAATTGTTAAGAGTACTAAATCCTAGTAGGTTAAGTCATAAAGCATCAAACAGATATTTAATAAAAAGGATGGAAATTCCTTCAAAAATTCTCCTAACAATCATGACTGAAAACGTAGTATTAAGCAAGTGGACTACCAGTCTGCATAACAGTTCCTAAAGAGATTTATTTCCCCTGTACTTGACGACTTTGTTGCTGCTTTACCTGTCTTCCATTTATGTACTTTGGTGCCACCATGAGGTGCTTGGCCCACTATCATTTTTAAATGGATAGTTCTAAAAAGATAAATAAATACACAAACAAAACCCAGAGTATACTTCCAGACTACCAAGAAAGTTAGGCTAGGTTTGGTGGACAGAACAGTAAGAGTGCTGGAGTGTTGCACCACAAGTAAAATCAAATGGAATGGATTTTTAATAGTTTTAGGCAAATAATTTAATTCTTTAATGTGTCTGTATATAATGAAGCACTATAAAACATAATTCATACATACTAGCTGAAAATTACTGATATTCACTACAGCCTGCCGAAGATATTTCACAACTGAGGAAAAAGGAAAATGACCCATACAAAATTACCCTCCAATTAGCTTAGTATTTTTAAGCTGTCATATACACTTTCAAAGGAGTTACAAAGCATTAGGAAAAAAAAAAGTTTTTTTGAGAAATAACAAGGAAAAGAGAAAACTTTAAGAAAACTAAACCCAAATTATACTGATGTATTTTAAAAATTCTGACACAGTATATTTAAGTTATCAAGGAGATGGATAACCCCCCCATGGCAGGGGGGTTGGAACTAGATGATCTTTGAGGTCCCTTTCAACCCAAACCATTCTATGGTTCTATAAGCACCTTTAGATGCTTTTTTTTTTTTTTAAAGTATTTATGCCCAACAGATTCAACACAAGTTATTTTTTTACATTTCAATTCTGTAATTTCTTACTTAATGTCACCAATGATCAAATCTGACTCATACCAATAAAATGGTAGATAAGAAATAAATCTTGTAAGACCTGAGGAAAACAAGTTTAGGTATTTGTCTTTAATGGTTTTAATTTTTTTGTTTGCTTCCAAGTGACTTCCAGAATCACCTAAGTCTCAGTTTCATACGGCCAATTCCAAAAATCTTATGACATGACAGCACAATTAGCTTGCCTTGCACAGTGCTTGGAAGTATTAGACTCATAATTTCTTTGTTAAATGGTTTGAAAACACATCTACTTGGCCCACCACTGGAAAAGTACTTTTGCTTGCAAATATTATGAGAATTGTTGTTCCATTTAAGGAGATTAGAGCATCTTTAAACAGACACGCCCTTGTTGCACAAAACTTGCAGACAGTAATATACCATAGCTGTTTTTTTAACTTTTAAGAATACATACAAAGTCTGTGTTTGCTTACAGGTCTCCAATGCATGGGATAAAAATGTCTCAGAATCTCCCCATTCTACTACTTTCTATTTGTACAGCCTAATTCTTGCTCTGTTGCTGATGTCTGTTCTCTTAAAAAGTGTACTAGGTAAAAACTCTACCTTGTTTTAAAAAAAAGAACTTAAAAAGACTGGGAGAGGAAGAATTTCTGAACTTTTTCTTTGATCCATCAATCTCTGAAATTTACTCCCTTTCCATATATAACTGAACAAAGGAGACGTCATTCTGCGTTTAAAAAGTGTTCACACTTACAATCTGTTCCTTTCTTCAATAAATCTCTTTACCTTTTCATCTCCTTGTTGAGGAACATGCCAAAACCAACATTTTGCTCTTTCACACCCACGCAAAGTCATGAAATAAAATCTGCAATATTTACGGGGCAATTCAATCATCTCGAGGATCCGATGGACTGAATGAGAAGCCTAAAATAAAATAAAATTAAAACCAGCAGAAAAAAATCCTACAAATAGTATTTTTTGAAAGCAAACATGCTCTTTTTTTTGAGAATTTCAAAATACTTACGAATTCTAAACAAAAGCAAAAAATATATGATCTACAATTAAAACTCTAAAACAACCCTCATCTCTATACTGTACCTGCAGCATTTCAACACAGACCAAGATTAATCCCCTGTCACATGTTTTGTTAATGTCTAACACAACAAAAATCTGTCATGAAGACCACAGACAGAACAATGTAAGAACTGCTAAATGAGATGGACAAGGAGTAGAAAGGAGGAAGAAAGGTGACAAACTCCTGCATGGCTCTGGATAACAGTCTGACAATTCTGGGACATCAATTTTCTTTACCCTTTTTCAGTGCCCAGCATAATGGATAATGCGGTCTGTCTTAAACATGTGAAACCTTGTCTGCAGTTCTACAAAAACAACAAACCAAAAAGCATTATTTGATTTTGCTTAAGCTGGAAACAGAAATAAACAAAGCTCCACTGTGAATAGCTGTCCCCTCATCACTGATTTTGTTCTCAGAAATCACGTTTACTCAGTGATAGCATCTTTAGAAGAGTCGAAACATAAACACATAGATTTGTAATTTCTGACTAGATATATGGTGAATTGTCTGAATATCCGTAACAAAATGAGTGCCTAAGGATCAGAAATCATTAAGGGTTTAACAACTCACATTTGCATTTTTTTCCGTCTTCCATGACTCAGAATCTCCATAGTTTTGCAACGGCAGTAAAGGACTTTTTCCTGAAAATTTGTAATCTAAAAATTAGGATGAGGGCAATAAATGGATCATGTAATAAAACAAATTATACTGAAACCACTCTCATCTTATTTTACTCTGTATTTATAGTTCCTTCAAGTCACAGCAATGATTAATGAAAATTTGATTAATAAAATCTAAAGTCAGAAATTTATGTTACAGTTTTTGTAATTATTCTAAAACTGAGACTTTGCACAAACTTCCAAGAGTAAGCACATTTAAATTAAAAACTTCACTACTTTATCCAAAGTTTCTAATCTAACTTACAGAGATAAGAAGAGAAATGGAATAAAAATATCCGGAAGTTTTAATTTCAAAAGGAAAACAAACCCCCCACATTAATCTTTGCATTCTCAAATCACTCACCATAAATTTAAACTATTTTTCCAGAATTGAAATAAAACCTTTAATACCCTATGTTTTCAGCAGTGCAATATCAAGATAAGCCCAATGTTAAGTTACTGGTTTCTTAACACTTAACACTTGGGTTTAGAACTTCAATTATTATTGATAACAGATTTATTTCTCTGAAAAAAAATGAATACTGCTAATGGAAGATAAAAGTTCAAATTTTCAACTCCATATCTAAAGAGATGTAAGAGCTTTTGAATGCCTTGTTTTCTAGGGTTCCCATCTGGCCCCTTAAAGTACTGGGTATTCAAAAAGCAAGGTGCTTAGCCCTTTTTGACAAACCATTGTTACTGAAGAGCATCCAATAATGAGTATGTTCTACTAGAGACTTGCACTAGGTACCTGGTTCTTAATCTGCATGTCTTTCTAAACAGATAGGACTATCACAGGATAGGAAAGAGAAATACAATGTAGAACAATTAAATAGCTAAATGTTAGTACTGTCACAGGTGCGTGATTTTGTGCAGTGATGGTGGTCAATTTGGTAAATTCAGGATTCGATAAATTTAGTGACAGGAAAAAGACTGAGAAAATAGTCATCCACTAGCTGCAGAAAAATGCATCTAGGAACTTGAGGCTCAGAAGTCTTTCCTCTAGATTCTTGCTGTCCCCAGAGCACTGAGCTTCCGACCACGTCCTTTCAACAGTTTGTACTCTCCCTGCTGACTGTATGTCAAATTTATAGAGGAACAAGCAGTAAAGTGAAATAGCTAATCCTGCCTGCACAGTTCTGGGGGGAAAAAAAAAGCTGTTTTGTCCTCTCCTAGCACAGAAACGCTTGCAGTAGCAACAGTTTCAAGTGATTTTAAGAAGGAAGATTTAGAAGAATTCTTCAGAAGGTGTACACGCTTCTAAGGCCAAAGACATGAGCCATTTGAAATTACTGTAGTCTAGAGACATATTTCACAGTCGCTTTTTATAGCATCTGTGTTTCTTGCACTTCCTGAAAATATTGTTAAACAACACGATGATAAAATCATTCTACAAGCTCAGAGAGGCAGTATAATTTGAAACTAAGCAAGAACCTCTGCCACTGATCTCAATTCAAGAAATCCATGTTTATAAACATATTAACCACTAATTCTAAACCCATTAATTTCCAAAACAGCTGTTGCAAAGAAACACAATGCAGTATCTATCCATAAGCAATCAATTCTTGTTTTTCTCTATCTTGTATGTCAAATAAAACAATGCATTTATGTAAGGTTAAATGTCAGATTTTTTATGTGCAGAAAAAAGAGAAGGAAACTTTTACTACAGTTCCATTACATTATGATTTCTCTGGTGGCAGAGACATTTAAGAGGTACCTGTCCCAGATGTGAAATATACCAGGTCAAAATTAAGTGCTGCTTTTTAAATCTAGATCATTTCCCTCTTCTAGTCTAGCGACTGCCTCACAAATGTTTGAACTGGCATAAAAAGAAGGTTCTGACCTTTGGCAAGGTGGGCAAATCCCTTAGCTAAGTTTTGCCAACAGATAATAAACAACCAAGAAAACCTGCAGTCGTGTTCTCTGACCACAAACAAAGAAAAACAAGTTACTTGCCAATAACATGGCTCAAACACAATGTGCCAACCTACTAAGAATGCAGGCACTGCTGTACCATTAAAGTATCTCAGAACTTGCTATTTGACCCTACCACACAGGATTCTGCTAAAAAACCCAACCCAACAAACCCCACTAACCTATCATATGGGAGCTTGCATTTTTCCTTCTGTGTATGCAAACTAAAACAAATTCTACCCAATGCCTTCAGGAATTGAAGAAATTCTTTAAGATTTATAGGTAAATAAAACAGATGTAAAAATAAATTCTAGAGGGTTCACCAATACCATTTTTCCAGGGTTTCATCACTGCAGCTTCACTGAGGACATTTACTTTCGGGGCACACAATGGATGCAATCCTGATAGCAATTCACGGTTCATGAGATCATTGTATTTATGGTCACTGTTGAGCATTAAAAAAAAACAACACAAAATTTATTTAACCAACTTAAACAAGTGCTTCTTCCATATACTAAATGCCTAAAAAGGGGGATTAAGTTTACAAAAGATGAGAATTTCTTCAATAATTTACACAACATTTCAAAACTTGGTGTAAATTTAAATAGCTAGCAGTCCCAATAACTTTACTTTCATTACTCTCATTGCCTGGTCCAACCTGATTATGATCCTAGCTGAGATTATTCTGTCCTAAAGTGTAACTATATGAAATTCAATAAATAAGTGGAAGAGACGCCCATGAACCACTTTGAGTTTTTTTCCACTCTGCTAACAGGAAGACTGAGATGATTGCTGTCACTGAAGCAGCATCTACTTTTCAGTAGTCTGTTATGCAATATCTGCCAAAGAAGTAATTTCAAAAGCTTTGTGGATTACATGTGAAGAGCCAACTGTTTTCTACTCAGAAGAAGATTTAGGTGATTTCAAAGGGAACTCCAATTAAAGACTGTTCTGCCTTTAACTATTCCCAAATATGTACATTGCAGATAATTAAACTACTAAAACGTGATGTTTTCCAAAATAAGCTACAAATATTGCTAGCAAGGTACTTAGTGATCTCTTTCTTACTTGTAAATAAAGCCAGAGGAAAACAAAATCCCCTTTCATGAGATCTTCCTCCTCTCGTCCCTTCAATCAAGAATCTAAATTCAGTACAAAGGACATTTCAAGCTGCTTGCTGTTTGGAGACAGAAATAGACTTGCTATCCCTTATGAGGGGCACTTCCTAGCTATTTAATACTTCTCATAGCCAGGATAATTCAAATCTTTCCTAAATTGCAGGCTGGTTTTAATACAGTTTGAAATAAAAATACTACAGCAAAGAAGAATAAATTCTATGTAATATACCCAAATTCAGTATCAATCTTTATTTCCATTCTAGTCAATGTATTGTATTGGTCTCCACAGGGAAAAAAATCTGCAGATCTAGTTACTCAGAATTTTCAAGTTACCATCTAAAATTTTTCTTATGCTTCCTTGTGATGCCAGCCTCAGATATGATACCACAGGATTTTCATAGCTTACCTTCAGGATAATAATATCCACTCTCTTTTTAATTTAGGCATGAAACTACACGCAATTTTACCAGGAACTGTAAACTCTACAATCAATTCATTTTTTAAATAACAGCATCACTAAAAGTGGCGTTTGCTAAGTAAGAACAGTAACTGTGTTTTCTTCTAGATGAAACTTTGCAATGGTAACATTTTTGAGTAAAACTAGAGAAAATAGTTTGACTCCAAATGAAGGAATAAGTGCCTTTTCTCTAACCACAGAGAGTGCTGCATATCAACTAAGGAAGTGAAGTAACGCAGTATCACTTGCACAAACATATTTTAACAAGCATAATCTACTTAGTCTATAGCATAAAGAACTATTGATGCTACTAAGCTAAATTTAAATGAGTGTTTTACCAGGAGGAGGAGCTTGGAGCTCTCTAGTGGATCAATGAAAAGATGCAGTACTCTCTATTTAACGAGCTTCTTGTACACTTCAAGTCTGTCACAGAAATGTGACTGGTGTTGGAAAATAGCAACACCGTCTTCTATGCTAGCTAGGATTTCTTGATTATTGTGAAAATGACTCTGAAATATCTGTTATTTCTCTTTTAATTACTTAAGTATTCCATCAGTTAAGTATACTTTTTCTACAAAGTCCTATTCAGCTTTTGGGCTGATGCTGAATGGAAGTTTCTTAGTCTGACACTTGAAGTTGTATGTACAATAAACACTGTAAGCATAGCTTGAAGCTACCAGAACAGCAAAGCACATGCTTAACTCCACATGCCCAGTTTTTAAGTGCCTTTTTCTACTGCTGTTCAAATATGTCAGCCTGAATTTGAATGAGATCTTTCAATTCTTTCATCAGTTTAGAAAGTCCCCAGAGGCAGAAAAGAAAGCTTAAAGTTTCATTGATTCCCAACCCCCCGCCACCTAAAACGTTCTGGTAAGTACTATTGTGTCTGGAAATGTGTCTTATGCTATACTCGCATTGAGATGCCAAGGTGAGACACTGGCATAAAGTAGATATATTTTGTCACCATCTGGAGGACAAAATAACATCTATTGTCCTGTCAGGCTACGACTATCCTTGCCTTGTACTTTGTACAGTGAAATTATGTTATTTCACATATTTATTTTCTTAATCATATAGTCACAATAACATAGAAAAATTGAATTAAAATGCTGATCGTGTTTTGGTAAAAACATCATATTTCATTTGTGCAATAACTGGGGAACATCACAGGTTACATGAATATACAGATATATACCTTTTTTCAGCTTCACCCTTTTTTTCTTGTTTAACATCAGGCACTCCATCTGCAAATCTGAACTGTGAAGATATTTAAAATGTGTTTTCAGATACACAAAGCACTACTAAGCCTGTTACACTTTACACTACAGACTTAAAACTGTTAGTAATCGTTGGAAGGTGTGATAATATAGTCTTGACTGTAAAAACTATAATTTGGACTGTCAAATTACTCTTACACCATCTTTTTAAATGGACACACTGCCATTATACTCTGTGATCTCTGAAATAGCGATCTTTTTCATTGGAAAAAAAGGTGACATGATTGTCTTCACTTCTCTTTGTTCCCACTGATAATCCCAGCAATTTTGAGGCCCATTGCCCAATTTTAACTGTGCCTGACAGATGTGTAGAAACCCACAAAAGACATTCCATTAAGTTTAATGAAAAATTAAAACTGTGCACCATGGCATATAAGTAAAAAAATCCCCAAAGATATGGAGAAAAAAAAAGACAGCACCTAACATATTTGGGGGTGAGAATCTGAAAAGACTGATATCAAACAAAGTAATGAAATCCTGGCTTTGTTTTGTCCATTACTCATGAAGTAACTTGAACTGCACATTATATCACTAATTTACGATAGCCAAAGAATTAGACATAGATATGCTCTCACTGGATTTCCAAACTTAATTTTACCAGTTCCCCAAATATTTTTAGGGTTTTCTCCATGGTTATTTTTTGTCCTTCTCACAGCATTTTTAGTTGGAAAAGCCATCAAAACCCCAAATCCCCAGAATCACCCCAAATGGTAGAATACTTGCAACAAGCGTTCTGCCATTCCACTCCCTCCCCAGGTCTGCACAGCTAGTTTTCCATCCTCATACAGGAAATGGTTTAGGGCTGTAGCATGTATTTTGTCGCTTAAGTTTGGTTAAGTTTGAGGTTTGGGTGAGATTAGTTGTACATATTTACTGCTGTCCAACACAACACAGAAAAACAAACATTAGGACACTGATTTCATAAAGTCACAACACTAGGAAGTAGCCCAACTGGAACTGACCTGGCAATATTGCAACAAGTACTATGCCTCCAGTAGCCTATCCTATATGACAGGATAAGCCTTTTACCCTCTCCAAGAGGCCAGGGAACAAAACAGCACCTGTTCACTTTGTGAATGAGATGTTAGCAATCCCAATTCCATTTGCTGAAGGAAATGTTTCTATTCTGTTTTTAAATAACGAATTTGCCAGGGAAACGGATTCCCTACTGTTTGACCTTATCAATTACTTACCAGTTTTTAGCCATGTGAATTTTACAGTTTAACTTATCCAGTTAAAACCATTATCCACTCTTGAAGCAGTGGAAAACAGTAAATGCTATCAGCAGCTATGTCTGAGTGGCAGTGAGATGTAAATTCCAATCCATTATCAAAGCAGTAAATAGTATAAAACTTCAGCAAGTCTTAAAAGACCTAGACTTATTATCTAGAGGAAGGAGGACAGAAAGGTCAGATAAAGTCAATGAGTATGAAAATGGTTTAACGTTCGCTCTGAAGTGCCAGGAAGTCAGTATGTTAAAGTAATGGCCCTTCTGCCCAAGTAATGAGCCACAGAATGATCCTCCTCAAATGCATGATGGCTGTGCAGCTCCCCAGCTTTCCAACACCACTCCATCCTCCTGAGACTGGGTGGTGAGAAGCATTTAAGGCCAACTTTTAAAACTAGGTATGTTATGTAAAAATACCTGTCACATATGCACAGTAGTACTCCTAAGTGTTCACTGAACAGTAATTTTCATATGATTGGTAATACAGAATTACTGTAACAACAATGTAACAATATCGTTTCATTTCAAATCTGAAGATGAATTAATAGTGACAAAGTAAAACTTACACTGTCTATAGCACACTAATCTATGAAACACTAATATTCTTTTTATTACAGGAAATTAAAAATTTTGTTGATAAAACAGCATTACAAATTAAAATTATCTAATTACATGGACTATAATTTCTTAAACTATTTAGTGACAGAAAGCATGATTTCTCAGTACCTTTTCATCCATGTCAAAACTCTTTAAAAGCTCATCTAGTTCTCTCAGTTGCCCATCTTCAAGAGAGTCCTCATTAACACCTGCCAAAGGACTGCTTCCTCTGGAGGAGTTGTGGGTTTTAATATCTTTAGCTGAAAATTGTATAAACACATTATTTTATGTGTTTCCCATGCTACAAGACAACAAAGCCTTTATTTCCTAAATATTACAAAGCCTTAATACTAATGACATTTAAGAACTCCTAGGACTTCCTAAATGTGAAATTTGTATTTAAAATTATTTCACCTTTAAAGCACAAACCATTTCAAATAAATATTAACCTGAATCTGCAATTAAAATTCTATCCAAGCTGCATGTTCTGTAATAGTCCCTGTAGAACAGTACAACAGGTTTATTTTTATAATATTTAATTCAATATTTTAGAAATAAATTCAGTTAAGCTTTGTTATTAAAACACAGCCAAAGATATGTATGGTAATTTGCTAAACAAATAAAGACTTAGTCTTTGTTGGAGAAGGGGATAAGTTAATCGTAATGACATGATGCAACCCTGAAGTAAATATAGATAACTCTGAGAAACTCCTAGTTCCTGTAATACAGTAAACTCAATGAGAATTCAGCATCAGGAAATTTCAGCACCTTTTGCAGATGCCACAGGAAACGAACAGAACACCTGACTGCAGCTTTCTGAAGCAGCTGTTTATGTACAATAGAAGAGCTCTGCATAGAAAAGAAATCCCATGTTTCATTGGATCACATGAATGAATTTCAAGTGCACTGCGTTGTTAGGATACTGGAAGAAAGAATCAGATTATTACAGGAAAGTCTTTAATCTTGGTCACTGGTCTCTGTATGATCATCAGTACAAGACACATCTGCATGAAGACAATGTATGCAAGATTTTCACTTGAAAGATGAAGAGGACTGATGTCATCCAGAATACCTTAACTGTAGTATTTGTTGCCCTTAGACCATGAAGCCACTGAGACAAGCAGCCATGACCTCCCTACGCAGCACAAGACACCAAAGCAGTAATGTGTATTTCTAAATAAATGCAAAAAGTGTCAGTAATTACCAAAACCAGGCACTTTTCTTTGGTTCTGTACAGATCTTTTTAAAGAGTCATACATCAAACTTAAAGTTACCATGTGCATATAAATTTAAGAGTGTGATATGATACTAAGTTTCTCAGATCTGGGAAGAAGGACCTACTTCAACCTTTTTAAGCACCACAAAAAGACCCAAAGACTTTTAGTCTCAAACTTCATTAGAACATGAAGTAAAACAACAAACAGTTTAATAAAATGCAGAAGTTACTGAACAGCACAAGACTTGCTCCCAGGTTTGGTTTAGTCACTCAGTACTTCAGATACCATGGCACAGGCCCCTCTGGCTCCTTACATCACCAGAGGCCTGTCTGCTTCCTCCCTACTCCTCTTCTGAGGCAACTTCTGCCTATTTCTTGGTGTCTGAGCTCTTAAAACTCTCATCACCTTTTATTCTGCCTTCTAATCACTGAAGCCTGAAACTTCTTCTCCCCCAGTCACTATTCACTCCTTTTTCTCCAGGAGGCTGCATCTGCCCAAACCGCTCACTCTTTCTACACGAATACAACACAATATGAAAATCCAGCACAAGAGGTACTGTGACAGACACTTTTTCAAGCCTGCAGCAAAATCAAAACCTTAACAGCAAGCTGACAAACTGACACCGGAAATACCAAGAACTTTCAAAACCAGGCTTAGTGCCCTGTGCCTTCTCCAGTGTGTCAGTAATGGGCTTCTGCTCAAAGTCAAAATCCTGTTCCTCCAACCTATCCAAGAGAAACTTCCACATCAGACATACCTTGCATAGTAGGTCTGTATGCAAGCTGTAGAAAACAAAACGAATCACATTCAGATGCTGCCTAGTTGGACTGTTCTGCTTAAAATAGGAAGAAAAAAACCAGTAAGTCAGAAGTATCTGTCTCTTAAAAAAAAATAAAAAAATCCTTCAAAACCATAGCAGTTTGTCAGAGGAATGAGCATAGCATCTCCAAAAACCAAAAGTACAACCTGGAAAAAACCCTATTATAAAATTCTGTCTGCTGATGAACACGAGAGAACAATCAAATGAGATTATGAGTCAGACTCCAAAGCAGTATCACAGTACTCAGTGCCTTACTATCTTCTCATCGACTAACAGAATTCCTTGCCTAAAGTATCCGAGAGATGTCAAAAAAACCCACAATCAAACCCCAAAACCCCCCCAGTACTACCAACGGACAAGTACCACAGAGAAGTAGATGTTCCCTGTAAGGCGCAGGCTTGTACCATTTCAAAACACATCCATTTTATATGCATTAGGAAATAAATCATTGTTACAATAACAGATATTACTGAACTAACAAATTCTCATTTTATGCAGAAAGTAGAAATCCTAGGTTTTGCCACTGAACGTATTTGTGGTTACTGTCTTCTCTTGATTACACGCTCAAAAATCTCCAAAGACTCTTACCTTTTAGCACCCAGTCACAGCGATTTTCAGTATCATTCGACATTCCAGATTCTTGTATGGTAATGTGTCTGTTTTGAACAAAAAGTGCATTTAAGATTTCCATCTTGCACAAAAGCAGAATTAATCTAACTAGGTATGTAAAATTAAAGTTCTCAGTAATACTTTTAGCTATGGACAGAATCCTTACTTACAACTGTTTTAAGACTGTTCTTATCTCTCTCTTCTGGTTTTCTTATGTCCATCCCTATAGATACACACCTAAATACGTTAAGTAAAACCAAGACATTTCAAATCCCAAAATTTGTCAGTAAAAGCTTGTTATCTCATTTCACCTTTGCCTAAAATAATGAGAAGGGAAATCTTCTCTGTATAGCAAGTTATGGAAATACTGTGCTAATGAGATAATTCATCAGTTTTTACAAAATGTGATTTATAGTAATTTTATATTCAAGACAATCTGCATAACAATGAACCTCAAGGAGAGTAACAAAAACATTTGTTCACAGAAAGATACTTACTTCACCTATTTTAAACATAAGTTGGGGAAAAAAACTATTTCTCCTTAGAAAAGCTCAGAAGGTAAAAATACATATTAAAATGTTATATACAGAACATACAAAACAACAACGCCATCATCACAGATTTTGGAAGCTCGTACCTGGTGAATGGCACCAAGTATAATGACAGCAAGCTGCCTAATACAATGGAACAATGAAAATTTCCAACAACGTAGCGGAAATGAAAAAGTTCCCCAGCATGTGTAACTTGGAACTATACAAACAGGCACAGATATCTATGTATATACACGAGATACATTAAGAAGCAGAATTTAATAAGTTACAGCAAGATTGCAGAGACAAGGGGGATTTTTTTATTAGAGACAGGCTCTCTGCAGGTTTATTTCCTCGCTCTCCTAGATTTTATGTGAAATGCAAAGTTTGAGTGATTTTGCCTACAACAACTACTGACTTTCTTTTTTGTAAAAATTGCAGTGCAGACAGTTCCAGAAAGCTGTTGTTTTCATAAACATTGCTTAAAACTGAAAACATTTAACAGCATCAAGAAACTGCAATCTCCATGTTCAGGTCAAAAGCCACTTTGAAATCTTTACCAGATACTACTAATTGTGTAGTGTGAAATAGTTAGAGAAGCACTTTATAAGTTCTTTTAAAGAAGGTGCCTAAAACACATACAGAAAACTACATTTATTTCAGTACTTGGCAGTGCCTCACCAGCCTGACAAATCTAGGAGCACTGACAGAACCAGAAGTCATCAACACATTTTACAGCTCTAGAAATGGACACAGGCTAGACCATGTCAAAATGTGGGATACTCTTGCATGCTGCTGCTCATTGTTTAAACAAAGCTCTCTTTACAGCATAAGTTACACAAACCACAGTGTTCAGTTTGCTATTTTGCATATGAAAAATGGATTCAAGTTTAGGCTTTTTATTCAAAAAGGAAAACAGTAAAATGCAGAAGTCTCCTAAGAGCAAGAATGGCGGCTGATAGGCTTTCAAAGGTATCCATTGAACCTACTAGTTCTGTTGGGATGAAAAGACATACTGGCTGTCAGTTAGAGTTAAGTGTCTGGATTCCCTGCATGACAGTAAAGAAAGACCTCAGATGTTGATTAAAAAACCTGTACTGTTGGGAGTTGCTTAAGGGTAGGCAATAGAAAATGGTAAACAGAAGTATATTGGAGAAACTGAGTCTCACTGCCGCATTCAGGCTGCAGGTCCAGAATCCTTTCCTGATGACTGGCAACTAATGTCTGGAAGTGACCAGCACTCACTCTTCTCTTCTTACAACGTGACTACCAGAGGAACAACCAGTCCTACTTATCCTAAAGGTCAGAGCACGCTAGCTGAATCAAACCATTCAGGACATACACACAGCCTTTTCTGAATCTTCCTGGACTAAGAGACAGGATCTGCTTGTCCTACCTAAACCTACTTCTTCAGAGACATCAGTTCCAGGCACATGCACAACCACAATGACAGTAGTAAGGAAACTTTAAGTCAGAGATGCGTAGCAATGTTAGGTGCCTCTTTGGTTGTTGGATGCTTTGTTATTTTGCTTAAAAAAAGAAAAAAGAAACAAGCTTTATTTGAATTTTGGAAGTCAATTACTGCTGTGACCAGTATGATCTACTCTTGAAGGACACATGCTCTCATTATCTGAAATTTGGAAGCAAAAAATTATTATCCTTGAGTTTTCAGAACTAGAAAAAAAACCCTCTGGCTTTTAGGGTCACAAACAAAAATGAAAAATGTCATTGGCTAAACATGCCTTAGTGTTTAAATTCAAAGAAAATGGATCCACACTAATAGTCACACATCCACAGTGGCTAATAGTTGCCACTGAACACGTGTCAGTTACTGAATCAACCAGGTACATCCTTCACACAGTTGCAGTGCTTTGGTTTCACAATGAAACTTGAATAAGAAGTATTACTTCATTATAGCAACTGTCATTTTGACAAGCCGCTAGATCTTAGATTTTTGTGGTTGGAAGATCACCACAAATTAAGGCACCAATCGTTTCCTTTACAACTTAAATGCTATTAAACTCGGAAGTAACACTCAACGCATTTTAAAACAGCTTTTCAACAACCCAGCTCTACTTTCAGAGTAACTTGCTTCTAGCAGAATTCTTACTGCTATATACCAATGCCCAACTAAAATATCAGTACACAAGAACTAATGTACTCAAGTCCATCCCCATGCGTACATGCACTAAAACAGTTTTAGCAAAGATCCAGATTCTATCACCATCTGCCTGCTCTTGTTAATCTGAAAGGAAATCATAACAAAAGCTATGTACTAATACAGTTAAAGGAAGCATTCAGCAGCAACCACCACGTGCAGCCATTAAGTACTTGCGTTGCTCTTGTACCTAAAATCACCTACATTACATTCATCTAGAGTGTAATGGCTAACATTAAGCAAATGTTAAACAAAACATGCATATAAACTAATATTTATACAAGTTAGAGATGGTTTACAATAGCGCAGTTCTGACTCACTGTTCTATGTTGACAGATTGAAGTGGCATTACAAACTAGTATTGCAACGAAGCAAAACTGAGTACGCATAAATAAGAAGCCAAACAAGAAAACATATTCAGAGATACAACTCTATCAGCATAATCACTTTTTTTGGTTGGCCAAGGTTGAAGTCCCAGTTGTACCTCATAAATACTAACAAAATAAAAAACAACAGTATGAACTGGTCGTTCTTAATATCTGGTGATATCACAAGCTACTGGATAAAACTGTGGTAAGATCTGTTGCTTTATTTTAATATTCTTATATTCAGTTCATTAATATATCCTGGCTGTTACCAGCTATGATTAGTCACCTTCTAATGACGTTTGCATCAAATTACGGAAGGTAAAAAGCAAAAATAGATGTTTTTGCCTGCTTTTTTAGCAAATTAACGGGAAATTCTAAGAAATAAGAACTGTGCATTTTTAGTTTCCTCGGCTGATGGTAAGCAAATTCTGCAGATACCGGGAAGAAAGCTGAAATAAGACTTCAAACAAATTCAGTTTCATCTATCTAATGGTTATGAAAATGGTACTCTAACTCCATGTCATTACTAATTAAAGGGAATATTTGCTCTCCCTACAAAGTACTTACAAGATCCAATAAAATTTTCAGTTCGTATTTATATAAATAACAAACTTAACACTCATGAAGTTCCATTTTGTGCAACAGCTGCCTGGACACAGCTGGAAACCTTCTCTGAACAGCCATTATTACCCTGGGGTAATATATAGCGAATACTCATTCTGCTATACAGTGTGTATAAGATATACACTGTACACAAAACGAATTCCCATTATAATAAATTTACTATGATACTGCCTAGCTACTGCTTAAGAAGTCGGATGTCCTACTAAAGACTTGCCCTGTTGTTCAGAGGCTTGTTTCAGCAGAACTTTTATTCCATTAACATCTGAAAGTTTTATATTCTCATGTCTAAAAAACCGTTCAGCACCACAAAGAAGATACCTTTCCTGTTTTGCACATGGGTTTAATGAAGAGGAAAGGATGAAGAGAGCAAAGAGTAAAAAAAAGAAAGAATGCAGTTATAAGATGGTACAATGTTGAAAATAAAGAAATAATTTAAAATAAGGATAACATAAAGCCATCCAGAAAGAGCAGAGGAAGAAAATTAAAACACCCCTCCCAATAAAAACCACTAATCTTCAGAGGAAAATCTTGTACTATTTCTATCTAAGCTTTATGATTTCCTTCGTAAGATGAAAAATTTAATCTTAAAACTCATTTATGAAACACAAGTATCAAAGCTTAGAGAGAAAACAGACTAGACACTTGATGAGTTAATCTATACCACAAAGGCCTACCACCTCTTTTACAAAAGTTTGTTTCTACTTTAAACTTCTCT